CACACCAATCGTCCTCAACATCAACATCTCAAGCTTCTACACAGTTCGTGAGTAGGAAATGACCCATTTGGTGCACCTACAAAGCTGCGGCGGCCATGGGAAGGTGGTACCAGTTCATTGACAATGGCGAATTGGAGGAGTAAGATGAACCAAAAGTAGCCACTTTCACTAATTCATCTTATGTACTAACAAGTAAAATTAAGCTTATTTCCAACAAATTCATGACGCAGTGAAACCAAACTTTGAGTTCTTAGCCAAGCTTAGGGTAGACAGGCGGTGCTCCTTTAGTTATGCAGACGTTGCATGAGAATGTTGGAAGCTTATAAGAAACGCTCAACAGGGGAAACAGTGCAAGATCCTTAAATCTGGGATTGATTTCTGCACCCCTCCTTTGGTATTGATCTACAATAACCTACTTGAGAAAATTGAGGCATGAGATTCTTTGAGGAAATTAGTATGAGGGACATGCCTATTCTTTTTTATTGGCTTTGTTAAATATGTAATCGTCAACCAAATTCCATTGACAACCCTGTAGATTGGTTTAATTACAAAGGCACCCCTTAGTTTTTTAAATTACACTAACACCTCTTGTTCCTTAATAAATATAAAAAAAAATGCATTTTTTTTCATAATTACTCTTATCATATATCATTTTTTACTTATCACCCCCTCATATATTTAAATACTAATAAATGGGTGTCATTTTCGAATTTAATCCTTCAAACTTGAAATTTACACGATCAACATATTTAACTAGTATTATAAAAATAAAATATTAATTATTTATTACTATTTATTAAACATTGATATAATTATTGTATATAAAAGATATTTTTACTTATTATTAATGTTATATTTATTAGGTTAATTTTTAGTTTATAGAAAATATATGAGTATGGGTTCAATTAAGTGATAATAGAATCTTATATTTAAATTTTAGCATTAAATTTTTTTATTCAAAGTTTATATGGGTCAATACGAATACAAACACACACGCAAGGGTTGCCCAGCGGTATGAAGTTGAACCCAGATAAACCATAGATTCGGACGTCATGGGTTTGACTCTTGTTAGTGTCTCTCGAGCTTAATCAATACCTATACTTTGCAGGCGATTAGAGGTATTCGGAGTTTTCTTTAGTAGGGATGAATTCAAAGAGGCCCTACCTTGGAGAGGTTCCACATTATAAAAAAAAAACATGAATACAAACACGAATACGACACGAAAATAAATGAGTTAGTCTAATTTTATTCATGAGTAATATGGGTAGTAAAGTGTAAAAAGTTGATGATATAATCACTTTTTTGACATTGCCAATAACGGTGTTATCTATAGGGGCGCTTTGTAAATGGATAGCTAAACAGTAAGAGGTGTTCGTGTAATTTCAAAAAATCAAGGGGGTGTGTTTATAATTAGATCAATTTATAGGGTGTTTGTGTAATTTACCATTAGTTTTTTTTCCTTTCTTTTTTTCTGAGTTAATTATTTTTGTTTCAACAATAACTTGAGTGGAAAGTTAATTATAAATGGTGTAATTAAATGAAAGGAAGTCAAAATATATATATATTTTTTTCTACACGGTGGCTTCTGTAATTGGTTTGGGTTGTATTTCTTTAAAGAAAGATATGTATTAATTACTAATTTGATTTTATGAATTGTATACACATATTTATATGATTTAGGAGTCCTATTTTTAGATAAAATTCTATTGAAATTTTTTGAAAAAGTAATGAGTTTTTATTGATTGACAATTTTAAAATATTTCAAGATATGAAGCACAATTCTTGAATGGTAACGACGGGTTTCTTGCTGGCATAAGAAATAATGAATGGTAACGACGAGTTTCTTGCTGGCATAAGAAAGAATAATTGGTAACGGCAAAAAGAGGCAAACCAAAGTATGAGACATGGGAAAGTGAGAGAATGAAGAGTGAGAATAGGACTAAATTAGTTGTAATGTAGTAAATTCATGTCAAATTTCATAACATTAAGTCTCCATTTTATGTCCAAATATCATTACTGAAATTTCATGTACACTTGGCTCTTTTGATCATAAACAGTAGTAGGGGTAGTTACATCGACTAATGCCTGGTTCCGAATTGGGCATTGTGTTCTATCTAATAAGCTGAATGCTTAGACACATAACTTTGACATAAATATTCTAGAAAAACCGAAAAAATAAAATCTTCCTTTGCTCTGTTTTTTAACCCATCAACCAGTGAATCTCAACTCGTTATGCATAGCTAAAGATTGGCTTAGTCAATCTTTCATTGCTTCTATCTTCTTCCTTATAAATGTAATATAAATTGATTAAATTCCATACCCCGTCTTTCTCCTTCACCAACACAAAACCTTTTTATGTGTTTTTCAAGTATTATTAAGTACTTATCCATTTCTTTGAATGTACTTATTCCTAGTCCCTCTCAGTATATATTCCAAAATGCATATCATTCATTTCTTTAAATGCATTTATTCCTAACCCCTTCTTGTACATAATCTAAAGTACATAACTTAATCATAATTAGATACCTTACTCAAAATTTAGGCCATAGAACCTATATAAGTTTGGCCTCTCCGCTTGAAGAATTGGTGTACATATTAATCTCTTCTTCTTACAATTTCCGAGCTAGGCCTATTAATTACCTCTCTTTCCCTCAGCCTCTTTCTCTCTCTCTCACACACCCACACCCACACCCCTACGAACACACATTAGAGATGGAAAAACTGAAACATTTCTCGCATAGCCATCCATTGGGCCTCAAGGAAATACAAATGGATGAAGGCGGCCACAAATTAGTTATCTGCGGACTCTGCGAGAAACAGATCTTAGGCCCTGCATATAGTTGTTCCGAATGTGATTTTTTTTCTGCACAAAAGATGTGCGGAACTCCGTCCACAAGTTACAGACCCCATACACCAACACCCTATGTACCTATCCTGGCCATTCGCATGTGATTTTTGTTAGATGATAGGAAAGGACTCTGCTACCGTTGTTTTTCTTGCCAATTTCAAATTTGCATATCATGTTTATGGAAGACCGCAGAATGATTACACATAAAATTCACGAGCACCCATTAGCATTCCTAGTAAGGCCAAGCTCTTTCTTTTGCAATCTTTGTCGCATGGAACACAAAGATTCATCATATGTATGTGTTACTTGTCAGTTTTGGATTCACAAGAGATGTGCTTTGTTACCTACCACCATCAGCCGTACGGATCACCATCACCCTCTCATTCTCGAGAAGTTGGATAAGTTCACCAAATTCGATACAGACTGTTATATATGTGATGAGCGTATTAATCGATTTTATTGGGCTTATTACTGTTTCCGATGCAGATGTTCTATTCATGTGAAGTGCTCATCAACTTCATCTTCAACACCTTTGAGGTGAGTCTATTCATCCTCCCCAAAAAGAAAAAAAAATAATTTAATAGTACTTTTGGCTCATAAAGTATATACGTTTTGTCAGTTTGGTCTTTAAAATATTAATTTTGTCAATTGTGTTTTTGAAATGCTCAATTTGTGTTTAAATGGTCCATACACATACAAACTATTAAGTTTTTGCCGGAATAATTACATGTTGATCACGTGATACCGTCTGAAAGAATGACACGTGGTCACTTTCATCAAAAAATTTAACGAATTCTCTGATTAGGGACCAAAGTGATATAAATTGAAACTTTAGAGACTAAATTGATAAAATTAGTATACTTTAGGGACATAAATACTAGCAATGTTTTTTTATTGGTAAGTAACTCTTATTTTATATATATTATTTTAGGGATCTAGAAAGTGAGATTATGGATCAGAAAGACCCGATCTTGATGTACTACACTTGCCGATGAACTGTTTTGTTGAACATCTCCTCCTTGAAAAAATTGAGGACGAACCAATGATCAGCCATTGGAGCCATGAGCATCAGCTAACACTTTTCAAAGTGCAAAATGACAATGAGACAAACAATGATAACACAATATTATGTGATAGCTGTGTACAACCGATTTCACATCCATTTTATTGTTGTACACAATGCGTTTATTTTCTCCACTTAAATTGTGCCAACTTACCACCAGAGATACAACACCCACTTCACCAACACCCGATTCAGCTCTCAAACTTTAGTGAATTCTATCGGCTCACCGGTTGCGAAGCTTGCGTGTCATACAACAACGGTTTCTTCTACAAGTGTGACACGTGTAAATCCTTCGCCATTGATGTTAAATGTGCTCTCCTGCCCGCCTCTATTGTACATGAAGCTCACAAGCACTCCCTATGTCAGAGAAACAATACATGGGATAAGAATGGATATTGCAGTGCATGTGGACTCTATTTTTATAATCACGGGTTCGGATGTAAGGATTGCAATTTCCGTCTATGCTGTAATTGTGCTCTACTCCCTAAAACCGTCGAGCATAGATGGGATAGACATTCCCTCATCCTTACCTATCCTCCTATCTTTGATCATCCCCAAGATTTCTATTGTGAAATTTGCGAGAAAGAAATAAATACCAGGGAATGGATCTACCATTGTCGAGAATGTGATCAATCTTTTCATCTTCGATGTATTCATCATACATATCGAAATGTCAAGTTTGGTGGCAGCCGTGAGTTTAAAGATCACCAACACCCTCTCAAGTTTCTTCAAAATGCAATGAAACAGTTCACGTGTTGTCGTTGTGGTGAGCTTTCTAGGGATGATCCCGTATTTGAATGTCTAGAGTGCTACTATATGCTTTGCAAAGAATGTATGCAAATACATGATGAGTAGTGACATTGTTAATAGATGTATAATCTTTTTTGAATACCTTTCAATGTATTTACTAATAATTGTTAAATATTGATACTTCTGTTGTAGTTGGTAACATGTTTTTAATGTTCATCAAATTTTGAATTTTCATACAATTTCTAATACTACAAGTTTTATTTCATTTTATTTTAAAAAGCCCAAATATTTAAGTTTATATATCTTGTTATTAGTTCGGGAAACCAAATTGGCTGAATTTCCATTGCTTTTGATCAAATTCAATTACAAATTTGCCATAATAATTGGAACAATAAAAATTATCAATTTTCCATTTCAGTAAATATCCCAATTATGTGAACTAAAATGGATAAACACTTCTATATAATTATCAATTTGATCATGTTCTAGTGAATTGACTAAAATGCCCTCCCATTATCAGACTATGATGCAAATTAAAGGATTTTGGAATAATGCATTGAAATGGGCAAGGAAATTGAAGTGAAATGCATTGAAAAAATGCTGCCATAATTTTTATTTTTATTTTTTTTGAACTGCTGCTGGCAAAAATTAACCAATTTCTTTCTGTGGTTCACTCCTAATATAATTGAATTGGCCTCATTCAATTACATTCCTTATTTAAATATAAAAATAACAAAACAAAATTTTTTACTTCTTTTCCAATGATGAAAGTTTAAATTACAACCTTTTGCTCATTAATTCTCTCTCATTAATAGATTGGCCTTTATAAAGCACTAGTAATAACGGTACTACGCAACACAAAAAATCGAGCACTCAAAAATTTAGTGTAATATAGATATTCTAAATAGCAATTTTGGATCCTGTCCTTTTTTATTTTTAATTATATAATTTCAAATCAATCTAGACACATTATTTTTCAAAAGAACAAAAAGGACAAAATTTTCTCTAAAAACAAGACCGAAAAAAATCTCAACCTATGTACCTAATTTATCAAAAGCCTAGTAATTGGTACGTGATTGCTTACTTTTAAAGAAAAATATGTATATAAAAACAACACGGTTCAAACTAATTAGCGAACTCACTATCACACCACAATCCTACTTTGGCTCAATCATTTACCAATTACCGAACCAACCTAACAATGCCAACAATATAATTAAGTTCAACTTACCCACATAGTCGTTTATATCAAACTTAAACATCCACAATACACAATGCCATACACATGCACTTCAAATACCACGAATAACAACCACCACCACGATTAATACCAAAACTGAGATTTTCACCCAATTCTAATATATCACAATTATAAAACCCAAAGCAAATATAATAATTGTGTATAGAAACATAGTTATTTCCCATAACTCATTATGCACACATCATATAACATAACATACACAAGTCACAATCGATCCCCCATGATCAACAACACATAACCATATATCACATATTGTATTCCATCATTCTAATTCAGACAATAATTGGCACATAATCTTTCGCAAAGGTATGTCAAAAATCATATGGAAGCATAATTCACATTTATTCATAACCGTGGATGTTCAGTACTAAATATAGTTCAAACCATTGATTCCCTTCATTACATACACACACCTTGACTTATGCATTTGATAGAAGAAAAGCATTCCCTTCATTGGACGACACCCTTTATCCCTATAAAGACAATAAAAACATATTCAATGAGCCATGCGTGAAGGCATTATGTAATAAAAAAATTAGCAATTAAAAACTAAGTATTGGAGGAAATATTGCAATAAACTCGAAACAGTTTGGACAAACTTTCCTCCAAAAACAAGACCCCAAAAGCATACCACAAATGCCTATTAGAAATTAGAGATCACAAATTAAACGTTAAACAAATAGCAAAACAAAAATATTGCACAAATCTCCCTCAGCCGCAATGACTTGTGCTCATTTCCTTCATGAAAATGATGGCATTCACCCTTCATACCTACAAACCAATAGTTAATGTAAAGAAAAGATATAAGATATGAACCGAGTCAAAGTAGCTTTACTCAATAACAATTTTATGAATTTAATTTAAAATTAGATATTGGAACACAAGCTAAACAAAAACAAAATAACACCCCTCTTGCTATTCATCACCTCCATGTCACCATTTCACCATCATTCGCCACACATTCCACAATTGGTCTCTAACAATCCCACATAACAAATATTTTAAGAACATCTAAGGAAATTAAATGAAAAAAAAAAAAAACTTCGAAGTTTTAAAAAACTGACCTTGAAATAAATTCATTAAAAAAATTAAAACAAAATACAAGACTTGAGTTTCAAAATGGTATTCTCTTCTTTTATTTCATTTTATTATTTTGTTTATAAGCTGGCCACAGCACAAATACTCATTGAACCAAATGAAAATAATATCACCACTCAAAAATCCCAATGTTCACAAAAATAATCAAATTCTCGTATTAATTTGTCCAATAGTGCCTATTATTTTCGTAAACAAATAGCAAAAATTCCAAACCATAAACCACCTAAATTAGACAACATAACCACCACCCTACACCAAAGAAACACATGCGCCACCATCATAGTCTCACTTCCTGAAATTCCCAAACCATAAACACCGTATACCCTTCACCCGTAGATTAACACTCTTTATCCATACTTTTTTTGTTTGAACATCTCTTTAACTGAAACCATCCACAATTACTGATTTCCTCATCAGTCCATCCCAAGACACATAATCAATCAACCAATGAAATGTAATGCATCAAAATCCCAAAATTTTCAGGTGAAAACAAAATAAATACAAATGAAGAAAGAGAGAAATGCTTACAGGTTCACATATGCCGAGTGGCTTCAATACACGATGATACTGAAATTAACAAAAGCAAAATCATTAAGTAAACTGATAACAAAAAAAAAAACCATTAAAAAGTGTGGGTACTGCAAATTGAAGCTGGCACAAAGGTGAAAGACTCGAGGTTACAGCTATTTTTCAACCTATACAGAGAGAAACAGAGAAAGAGTTAGGCTCTGGGTATACCTCGGATGAGTCCAATTGAAGTGGATTGGAAGAGTTTTTTAAGCTTTGAACTGGTCTTCAACTGCCCACTTGCTCAATTGCATGATTTCAAGTTCATCTACATAACGAAAATTGAAATCAATACAATTTGCCTCAATTTCATAACCCTAAACCCAAAATTATATAGTCGGAACCATAAAATGACATTAAAATGGGCAGTGATTGAGGAGGAGATGCTCTCATGAATTTCAACAAACACTTCACGTGCAGGGTGGGGCTGCGGTGTGGCAAAGAGTTAACTTGTGTGTGTGAGCTGTTGGGACAAAATCAGATGGGGGAAGGATTGGGCCATCTAGAGAGAGAGAGAGAGAGAGAGACACACACACACACACGATATAAATGTATTGTGGATTGTGGTAGGGTGGGTTATGTTGGTGTTGGTGGGTAGAGCGAGATAGGGAGGGGACTAAGATACAGAGTAACACAGAAAGAGAGACACCTTTAGGATTAGGAGTTGGGGGAGAGAAATGAGAGAGTCGTCGACGCAGAGAGGAGACAGAAATCAGGGAGTGATCGAGGGGCATAATCGAGGGGTTCAGATTGGAAAGTGATAAAGAAGAAAGACAGAATTGGAAACTGGTGTGGGCCAAAAGCAAAAATAATAAAGCCTGAATTGGAAACTTGAAAATTTTTTGTTTCACATAAATAATCTTAATAAAAGAACTAATATATTTTTTATCCCACCCTTTTATATTCCCTTCTTCAATTTTTCTCTAATATTAATTTTAAATGAATTTCAAACGAATAAATCAAATACTATTAATATATGTTAAGAAATTCATATAAAATTCTCAAACCTATGAGAAACAACAATAGAGAAAACACACGCAAAAAAAAAAATAATCACACGCACAAGACAATATTGACATAGTTCGGTAATTTATCTACGTCCACGAAACTGCAGGAGTTTCACTATTCTCAAGAACGATTATAGAGAGGGCGGCGGCCGTACAGAATCAATCAACTCTAATCATCCAAAAGAAACATGTTTTATATGGCTTGCACCGAGCTACAAACAAACAGGCCTAAGCCTTCGCTTCATGGACTAAGCCTCATAAAATTTCTCATTAAAAATCATGCAACATTTTTCAGGTCGAATCATTATCCGGATCAACATAAAAAACTAGACTCCACAAAAAACCAACAAATCTCCCACTTGGAGACTAGTTCACCAACATCAATTACAATCCTCCCAAGAATAAACCCTTATCCCGGCAACTTATCTTCATGTCCTCAAGCTAGAAGGCTAACTGAAGCTGCACACAGCTTCAGCTTCTCAATAGTGACACTCTTAGTCAACACGTTTGTCGGATTCTTAGTTCCACAGATCTTCTCAAGTATCAACTGACCATCATCAAGCAAGGACCATATGAAATGAAACCTGATCTGAATGTGCTTCGTTCTGGAATGAAATATCGGATTCTTGGCAAGAAATATGACACTCTGACTATCACTGTAAAGAGTACCCTTCTGTTTCTTTTTACCTAGTTCCTCCAAAAAACTCTGTAACCAAATCATCTCCTTTGAAGCCTCTGACACTGCAACATATTCGGCCTTTGTAGTAGAAAGGATACTGTTTTCTGCACGTTAGAATTCCAAGACACGGCAGTATCACCCAAAGTGTAAACAAAACCAGTGGTGCTCTTCCTACTATAAGTGTCTCCGGCCAAATCAGCATCAACAAAACCCTGTAACTCCAAAATATC